GGGGGGGGGGGGGGGGGGGGGCGTACTTTCATGTCTTGCATGTGTTAGCGGTTAGACCATTGAACACGCGTCCTCGAGAGGACGGACCGCATTGTTCCCACAGGACGGATCACCCATGGCCAATCGGGGGGGGGGGTCGTGCTCAGCACAAGTACTGAAGCACCAACCTGACAGATATGACGATCTTTTCCATGAGCAGAGAACAAATCATGGAGCAGCCAAAACACGCCGTCGTGAGGACAACTTTCGCAGTGAGTGTAGTTGCTGTCTACCAGAAAATATGGAATAAATCGAAAACAAAATGGCAGCCAAGGCGTCTGAGAACGCTTCTCCAACACCCTTCTTACAGTTGTACGAGACGATGTCTGGCTTGAAGACCGCGGTCACGAAGAACTCCGAGAAGTGGAAGAAGGACAGAGAGCACGAGTAGAGGCTCCACTGAAGCTGATCGTTCGCACGCAGCCGGTCGGTCCGGTCGTTCGTGCCGATCGATTGGTGCGGTGGCAGGGTTTTTCAGAGGAGTAGAGCGGTCATGCAGTCAGCAGCAGCAGTGCATCTCGACGAGAAACCATCGCGGGTTGAGTTTTGTGTTTCGAGTGTCCTTGAGCTTCGACAATAAAAGACAGGTCGACGCCGCATGCCCGCCTGCCCTCCACATCAATTGTACCCGTGGTGCACTATTGAGTCACGAGACTACACATAGAGCTAGGTTCAAACTGTGAGAAAAGTTGACGCTAGCTGTACGTCCCTCATGGCACGACGACGCCTTGCAAGAGCTGCTTCCGGGAGCTTCCGTGCGCATTTGAACGAGTTACAATGGTCTACCAAGGCACTCTACGGATTTAAACTCCACACACATGTGTCGGTCGCCTACCAAAGCGGGGGGGGATCAGCAATCAACGTCAGATAAACAGGCTTTGAATGCCAAAGATATTTATTCGAAGTATGTGTAAAACAGAAGACACATTTGTACACCGTGCGGAAATTCAAATCCAAGCACAATTTCCATGAGCTTCCACGCATGGACTGCCTGTTTCTACGCCTCCGTCTTACCAAGCGCGATAGAACGAGCCCGTTGATGGCCAGGCAGCAGCCGGCAATGGAGAGGTGCACGCCGAACACGAGCCCTGTCAAGAAGCCCGCTACGCCCACCTGCCCAAGGCCGTCGGGGCTGCTGAACTGTGGGTTGGTGCAGCCATCGAAGTTCAGCAGCCGCTGAATAGAGTTCAACATCAGAGGGAGGGATATATCTCTCTCTCTCTGCCTGGCCGAGTACTCCGGCGGGGTAGGCGAGAGACACAACACACACAGCACAGCTGACAGCAGGTACCTGCCAGGCAACCCCACCACTGGAAAACAGAACTGAGACACTCACAGCTACAAGGGGCGCCGCGAAATCAAAGGGAGTTGGACGAAATAATAATAATCCTGTCCAAGTGTGGGAGGGGACGCCAATATTATTGTGGAAAACAAGCGCACATGCGCCCGTGCTGCTTTCGGCTCACGCCCAAGCTCGCTGGCGATCCTGCTCCTCCTGTCTCTCCCTTCCATCCTGAGACTACGTTGTGGTGGCCATGGATCGTGGAAATGACGCGGAAACCGAGAATAAGCTCGGCGAAAAATGTGCAAGATCGTCAGAGCGGATTCGGATTGTGAAGGACGTCGCTCAGGAGCTCAGGCGAACAAACCAACGGCGAGTTGTATCCACGTCGCACGGAAAAAGCCTACGACAAGAACGGATAGAAGTCCTTTCGAGGAACACGCCGCGTGAGCACCTACCATCGGGAGAGAAGGAGCAACATGTGACAGTCAACTCCAGGCAGGCCGCCATGAGCGTCAGCGACCGCAGCAGCAGTCGTCGCGTGTCTCAGGTGAAGAAACAAGGCGGCTGGCGGGCACCCTACCGTGGGTGACACAAGATACCACACCCCCCGGGACCTATTTTCAGAGCTCGATTGCCCCACAGCAGAAGAGAGGGTGGCGGTGCCAAAAATGACGGCGATGGAACCGCCTCGTCCAGATCTCCCGAAAACATGTAACTTGATTTATATCCTCTTGTTCGTGGAGTAATCGAGGTTTGTTTGAAAATCGGTTCGGGGGGTGTGGTATCTTACGTCATGTGACCTACGGTACACGGTAGTCTACAGTTTGTTGTCCTGGTGGGTGGTGATGCAGTGGGGCTAGCGGAGATGTATGCACAGCCGAAGCAAGAAGGTTACCTAGAGCTGTGTTGTTGTTTCCTGATAGCTCCTTCGCTCGGCGGTCGGTCCCAACGTTCACTCGACACAGCAGTGCGGACCCCGCAGCTATGTACTGGCAGTGGTTTGAGAACCTAGATAGAATGGTTTGGCAAAATTCGAAATATCGCCGCAAGAGCAAGAAAATGGTTTGGTCTAGATGTAAGAAATATTGAAATATTCAGCTCACCCAAGGATTCCATATCAAATTGATCCAATATTGTTAATGATGTTCGGTGTATTCAGTCATCACCTGTCTGTGCTCAGCTGCGGTAGGTGGTGACGACAGAGTAAGAAACCGAGCGTCCACCCGACATCGACGTTTCCTCTCTCCTGGCCCCTGCTGTTTGCACAGCGGCCGCAGCGCGATGGGAATGGATGCAAAAGGGAACAAGAGAGAGGGAGAAGGGAGGCAGCAAGCGAAAGACCCACAGAAGCAGGAAAACGCCAAGGAACCATCGATTCGAAGCCACTGACAGTAGCAAACAGCAACCACCGCGGTGGGCATTCGTCTGTCCCCAATAAAGCTAGGTCTACGGGCGGCGGTCGAGAGCCGGCCAAAAAGGACCGGCGGAGCAAAGAGACAATGGCGAGAGTGGCCGAAGAATGCAAGCGGAAAGCCGTCGAGCGTGCAAGGAAGAAAAAGAGGAGGAACCACCCGGAACGCCGGGCGGCGGCAAAAGCCATCGTTGAATACTTCGATCTGCTGCATTTCTCGACGAAAGCACAGTAAAAGAAACAGCTTGGTGTGACGAGATTAAGCTGTGTGTAGGTTGCGGCTCCGTTTCAGTCCGGTTCCTTTTCGTTATCCTCCTTTTCTCTGTCAGTCGCTCGCTACCGCTCACTCCCAAGCGACACTGAGTGAGCAAGAAGGAACGTCAACACTGCTTACTGTTATTAACAACCATTGTTCCACTGTTTCTGTGTATGAGCTCGGAATATTAAGATCTTACGGAGGAGTTCGGTGTCATATCTGCAAGATTGTTTGTATGTATGAGCTCGGAATATAAAGATCTTACGGAGGAGTTCGGCGTCGTCATATCTGCAAGATATACCCGCTCAAGTGGTATCTTAGTCTGAGGGTCCACCATGACACTAGGTTGCTCTGCCGCCTGCGGCCCCATTTCGAAGAGCGGCAGCAGCGCGAAGTGGTGATCGTAACGTAATCATGTAAGAAATTCGTGGTCTGAAGGTAGGTATCCTCGAAGCCGTGGGGTCTACGCAAGGTCTTGCTTGCCTTGATGTAGCTCACGGCATGTGCGCGTAGCATGGGACGGCAACCCTCGCCGTGGTCGATGCCCTTCCCTCTGATGGAGATGGGGCCGGGGAGGTATAACGTTATTGACGATCCTCCTACAGCCTACTCCAATACCACCCAAAGCACACGCGCTTTGGGCAGCGTGGTACTCTCCAAGATTCTCTCCTTGAAAATAAAGATGTTGACTGCAGGTGTGGTTCCGGCAGAGCACCAACACCATCGCTGCT